ATGTATATATATATGTGTATATATACATAAATATATATATATATATATATATATATATATATATATATATGATGACGGGTAGGTATAGGCGCAATACCTAGCAGTAGCTAGCAGTAGCTAGCAGTAGCTAGCTGTAGCTAGCTGTATCCAGCTGTAGCTAGCTGTAGCTAGCTGTGGTTAGCTGTGGTTAGCTGTGGCAAGCTGTCGCTAGCTGTAGCTAGCTGCCGCTGGCTGTAGCTAGCTGTAGCTAGCTGTAGCTAGCTACAAGGACAATTTGCCTTTGTGTGCTGCTGCAGGAGGTTTAATTGCTGCTGCTGCTGCTGCTGTAAGTTTAGTTGCTGCTGCTGTTGCAGCTGCTGCAGCAAGTTTAGTTGCTGCTGCTGCTGCTGCTGCTGCAAGTTTAGTTGCTGCTGCTGCTGCTGCAGCAAGTTGAATTGCTGCTGTTGCTGCAGTGCCTATACTGCTGTTGCAGCGGCAATGCCTGCTGCTGCCGCTGCTGCTGCTGCTGCTGCTGCAGCTGCAGCAAACATTGCTGCTGCTGCAGCAGCAGCAGCAAACGTTGCTGCTGCTGCAGCAAGGATTGTGGGGTGTATGTACAGCTGGTTATGTCTGCTGGATAGTAGAGAGGAGTCGCTCAATCTCTCGTTTTACCTTCATATAAATAAATAAAAAAAAAGAAAAATAAATATAAATATATAAATATAAATATATATATATATAAATATAAATGTAAATATTAATATAAATATAAATAGAGATACATAGATAGAGAGAGATAGATAGAGATAGAAACAAATAAATATACATATAGATAAAGATATAAATATAGATAGAGAGAAAGATAAACAAATAAAGATAAATAGAGAGATAGATATAGATAGATATAGAGAAAGAGACATAAACAAATAAAAAAAGAGACAAACAGAGACAGACAGAGAGAAAAAGAGAGAGAGAGAGATAGAGAGAGAGACAGGTAGATATAGAAGTAAATATAGATAGATTGAGGTATAGAGACAGAGAGATAGATAAAGACAGAGAGAGACAGAAACAAAGAGAAGGAGACAGAAGGAGACAGAGACAGCTAAATAAGGAGACAAAGAGAGACAGAAGGAGACAAAAGGAGACAGAAGGAGACAAACACAAAAACAAAAAAAAAACAAAAGACAAAAACAAAAACAAAAAACAAAAACAAAGACAAAAACAAAGAACAAAGACAAAGACAAAGACAAAAACAAAAACAAAAACAAAAACAAAAAACAAAAACAAAAACAAAAACAAAAAACAAAAACAAAAACAAAAAACAAAAACAAAAAACAAAAAACAAAAACAAAGACAAAGAAGGAGAGGTCTTACCTTTTGTGATTTTCTCCTCAATGCAGCCACATTCCCTTCGTGCTCTTTCTTCTCCTGCATCCAGAATAAATATAATATATATATATATATGTATATATATATATATA